CATTTAAAAAAATTAATGTGACCTTGACCTGACCTTCGCTACGCAACCCAAGGTCAAACTGATGTGATCAGTAAATACATCTTTTTAAACGCCACAACTTTTGTCTGAAACATTTTTTTGTAAAACTTATATTTTTCCTGATATTCGGGCGTCCCGGTACTTTCCGAACACTTTGTATACAGGATATCCCATTTTAAAAGATGCATCCTGATAATTCTTCAACCAATCATATTCAGCAAAAATATTTCAGACAAAAGTTATCGGGTTCAGAGTGGGACATATGAAAGTGATCTTAACTTTGATCTTGTGAGTTATTTTAAAGGTTATTCGAAGGTAAACTTTGCTTTTTAAATAGAAATATCTACTTTTTATTACGGAATTTTATTCTACGTAAAGAAACTAACAACTTTTGTTTGGAAATATTTTTTATACAACCTCTATTTTCTAAAATATTGACGGAAATATCCACAAAATTATTGGTTTCAATAATTTTTTACTTTAATTCTATCAACTTTCCCGGAAAATAGCAAGAGACAAAAATTGTTTATTTTCTTCTCATAGAGTTCTGAAATTTTTTCAAAATTTTTTATAAACTTTTTAGTACTTAAAGAAAATGCAAGAAAATGCAGTATTAAAAAGTTAATTAAAAATTCTGAAAAAAATCTCATAGCTCTACGAGAAAAAAATAAACAACTTTTATTTCCCGCTATTTTTCGATAAAGTTGATAGAATTGGAGTAAGAAATTATTAAAACCAATAATTTTATAGATATTTCTGTAAATATCTTAGAAAATAGAGGTCGTATAAAAAAATTTTTTTAAACAAAAGTTGTTAGTTTCTTTACGTAAAATAAAATTCTGTAATACAAAATAAATATTTCTATTTAAAAAGCAAAGTTGACCTTCGAATAATCTTCTAAATGACCTCCAAGGTTAAATTTAAGGTCATCTTCAGATGACCCTCTGAACCCGACAAATTTTGTCTGGAACATTTTTGCTGAATATGCTTGGCTAAAGAATTATCAGGATTTTTTAAAATAAGACATTCTATATATATATGAGTGTCTCACACTCTTCTCCGGGTATTTTGTGGGGACGTAGAACAGGTTAAGGTGAACATAAAAGTCCTATACCGTTTTGCGATATTCGCAATAATTATCGAGACATTAATTGTAGAAAACTTGTAAATAATCATGCAATATATGGTAAATGAGTTATAGTAACGACGACTGCCGTCATGTACTTATACTTTAGGTCAAATTGAACAAAAAAGTCCTCTACCATTTTCCAAATAATCACATAGATTTTTAATTATTAATTAAAGAAGATTATTGCACAATTTTGCGTGATAATGCACTTATCTTCTTTAATAGCGACGGCAGTCGTCGCTATTATAACTCATTTACCATATCCTGTATGATCATTCACAAATTTTCTACAATTAATATCTCGATAATTATTGCGAATATCGTAAAACGGTATAGGACTTTTATGTTCACCTCAACCTGTTCTACGTCCCCAAAAAATGCTTAGAGAAGAGTGTGAGACATCCTGTGCGTATATATATATGTATATATATATATATATATATA